GAGAGAGAGAGAGAGAGAGAGAGAGAGAGAGAGAGAGAGAGAGAGAGAGAGAGAGAGAGAGAGAGAGAGAGAGAGAGAGAGAGAGCATCCCCATTTCTGAATCTGGCCCTCAAATGCATCAAGATTCAGATAAAATGGTCCAGAACAGTGACAAGGCCCACTGGGCCGAAGTGTGTGTGCTGGGCAGGAGGCTGTAGACCTGGGCCCGTGCCGTTTCCATTTCAAATGTGAAGGACCTGTGGTCCGCACGCCGTTTCATTTTCTTTTAGGACCACAGGCACCTATCCGTTCTTCGCATAATGTCGGGGTTCCCTGGAAAATGACACGGGCAGCTACCCGTCCTGCGTTTGCTTGAACTGTCCTCCGCCCCCTCCAATGCCCGTGCCTCTCAATTTACCAGCCTTTCAGCGACGAATGCAGCCGAATGAACAACCCGTATAACCAAGGACGACCCGTATAGCCAAAGACAACGAAATTGCCTCAGGGGGGGAAAACGCAACCCTGACCGGCTGCGAACTTAGGGGTGAGAACCGCACCCCTGACGGGCTGCGAACCGGAGTTGACCAGTATATTCCAGTAGGGGCTTACTGGTCCATCCAAGCTCAGCACCACCCGCTCTTCTCGGCCTTTGCCTGCGAAGTGCCCCTGGTAGGGGCTTACTTGTCGATCCAAATCCTGCACCACCCTCTGTTCTTTGCCTTCGGCTGCGAAGTGGCGCTGGTATCGAGTTCTTCATTGACAAAGGTGTTCTGTTTTTTTTTTTTGACGGCTGATAGATCTGCGTTCGAGTCTCCGAACCTTCGGCCGGAGAAAACGTTCCAATGGAATAACCGGGCAAACCGAGCTGGCCCTGACGGTGGCCGTAGTTTGGGAAAATCTCTATTCTGGTAGCTGTTCGAGAGCTGATGGCAGGCGGAGCGAGACAAGGGTTTGTTGATTGACAAGCGTCCGCCCGCTGCCGATAAATAGAACAACCCCCCTCCAACCCGGCTGCCGCCACCCCTGAAAGCAGCTAAAATAGGGGATTCCATACTACGGCAACGTGCAAGGCCAGCTCGGCTAAGGCTCCTTGACATCAAGTGACCGTTAGATCGTCACTTGATCGATCATCGAACGGCTATTTCCCGGTCAAGTCTGACTGACATCAGCCCGGTTCTGGCAATTTGGCAATTTGGCAATTCTACCGCCTCGCTAGAATTGGCAATGGACGGGTGAGCAATAGAGAAACGAACGAACGAACTGCGCCGCCGCCCGCTGCTAATTTTCGCAAAGCAACACGCGCCCCTAACAGCTGCCGGCCCCGGCGCGGGCGCGGCGCAGCACGGCGCGGAGAGTTACGGTGCGCGGCATGGCGTCGCGCTCAAGCGGACAGAATCTCCGCATTGAGTCGGTAGACTACGCGGGCTTGGGATTAGACACAGAGTGGCACAAGCAGTGTCGTTGTGGAGTGGTGGGAAACGTGATATCGCGTGCCTGCGGGAGAAAGCGGAGGCTGCTATTACCTCGGCCTTGCCCTTACCTTCGCGTCTGCCTTCGTCGCTTTTGCCTTGGTCACTCGCTTGCGCTCTGCTCGGTAGCAGCTTTTCATCGCGTTCGCGTCGGGGGAGGACAACACTGCAGTTCTCCTTTCAGTCAGAGGGACGTGCTCGAATCTTTGGTCATCCCTGGGGGCCCCTGGGGGATCATCTTTCCGCCTCTTCGGACGCGACGGATGCGCACTACTGGGTAGTGTAGTAGTGCACTCGCTTTTTTGCGCAGTACCTGCTGGTATGTCGCTCTAGATCTCCGCACACGGAGAGAGCGGAGGAGAGAGACAGCTTCGGTTGGAGGGAAACAGAGGTTGGGGCGGGGGAACGGCGGTAGGGGAAACGGCGGGGGGGGGGGGGGGGCGGGAGTCGGGAGGAAGGGTAGGGAGGGGCAGGGAGTGCCGGGGGGGGGGGGGGGGGGGGCATACACGGACACACGCACACACACACACACACACACACACACACAGAGGGAGAGAGAGAGAGAGTCCCTCCACAGTAGCTTGTTCACGACAGCGGTGGTTGCCGATCCTTGTGTGCGGCCTAGTTGATTGCAAAGGCGCGCTCACTGGGAAGACTACGGAAACTGGGGTAAGGAAGAGGGCGCGCGCGGAACGTAATCAGCGGGAGGAGACGGAGAAGCCGTGGCCGTGGGACAAAGCTGGGAGGACGGGAGAGGAGAGCTGGTAGGTTGGTGGGCGCTGGGTCGGGTTAGGGTGGCACAGGGTCGATGTGGCAGACGTTATGCGGGCTCTTATGCCCTCGGCGACTCCGGTATAGCAAGTGGTAAATAGCAAACTGTCAGAAGCTTACTTGCCCGCTCGCTGCAGTTGTGCATGCGGAGCGTGGCAGGGGTGACGTGAAGTCAATGGGCAAGGGGTGCAGGACAACGGGTTCATTGGAGCTGGTCATAGGAACGCACTAAAGGAGCAAGCACTGCGGACGGTGAAGTCTACTACGAGTCTACCTCCTCCGCACCTTCTCATTCTGTCAACCATCCGGGGACCCTCCCACGATGAGAAGGGAGAGTCCTGTTCGTTCATTAATAAATCCCTCATGTGCAGAGGCCACTTATCTTCGTTGTTATCCCCTCTTCCTCCCCATCACCTCTCGATGCTTAGCGGCGTTGATGAGCATCAGATCTATCTGATTGCCCCAGCTCCAGTCTTCTCTTCCACGTCTATGCATCGAAGCATATGTGTTTCATTACCCGTGTATGTATTCTCCGTACCTGTGCATTCATCGATCTCTCTTCATTCATGGACAATCAACGGCGGTGAGGGATCTCTCACCGTTGTTATTTATTAAAAGAAGATTGGATTGCCAGTTTCCATTTTCATTTATTCATTGATCTTGCGGGAGGGAGACAGTCCCAAACCTTAACTTTACGGGGTTCTCTTATCTTTTGCCTGGGTAACGGACGTACGGACGGAAGTGCAACTAAGACGTACGGACGTACGGACGGAAGAGCAACCAAGACGTACGGACGTACGGACGGAAGGGTTGCGATTGCCATCGCTCATATCCGTGGTGGATTACCACTCACGAACGGCGTTTCCGATGATATCGAATAACTAACGAGTTAACGAAGATGGATGGATGGTGGCCGGGTCGACAGGGAGGTGATTCTAGCCGTTGAGAGTATCTCTCTGATTGGTGGCTGGCGAGCAGAATGATCGATCGTGGGCATCGAATGGAGAGTGGGGCTTGGTGTTAATTCCGGGAACTTGAGATTTTTAGTAGTACGAACCTTTCGGACGGTACGGGAACATTTTAGTTGGAGATAGGAGGGAGCGGTTGGTCGTCGTGTATATGCTGTGTTTTCTTCTCACGTTGTGTGCGCGTACTGCTGTGCCGACGGTACGGGCACGTAGTTGGAAAGAGGAGAGAGCGAGGGCGATGGTGGGCGGGTGAGTTTAGCAGTGTTAGTGGGAAAGGTGGACAGGTTCAATGAATGTGGATGAGACTGTGGATGCGTCGAGGACGCGGGGTGTCCAGCTGTATGTCCGAGGTACTTTCTTGCCTCGATGCTGTTGTGGTGCCGCCTGCGTAACTCGCTCGTCGGCTCTGAGGCAGAGCACGAAGGAGTCGGGATCTCGGCGGGCTGAAATAATTTTATAGTGGAGCTTCTCTCTTTCCGCATTGTAAGCGGTGTACCCTATGTCTGCGGGGTTGCACCACGTGTGGTTTTGTCATATCAACGACGGGGATCGCGGGATTGTGCCAGAGACGGACTGACTGCTGATAGAAATGAGCGGATTGATAACTAGGTGCAGTCACACCTAGTAGAGAGAGAGAGAGAGAGAGAGAGAGAGAGAGAGAGAGAGAGAGAGAGAGTTGTGCAGCTTGCGTGCTTGGCATTGAGGGACAGAAAACCCAGTTTGAGAAGGGGCGACGTGGTGGATCGAGTGATCGACACGCATTGTGGGCGAGGGGTAGGGTGGAGAATGGAAAGAAGGTGCTTTTCCACCGCTTTCGTTTTCTCTTTTTGGCTGGAAAGCAGGTGCTGAGGAGGAGAGTGAAATCGGCTAGCGGTGGTCGATTTTGTAGGTGGAGCTGGGAACATCAAACGCGGCGGCGACAGCTGGAGGTGGGGAAAGTGATTATTTTGAGATAACGAATAGGTAGGGAAAGGGGCAACATCGGTAAGGTTTTGCTTGGGTGGTTGGTTGGTGGTGGGGGCTCCACCAGCTGCCATTGCTTGGCGCGGAAGAGGTGAGTAGGATGGGAGGGAAGAAGATCAGCAGCAGCAGCAACAGCAGCAGGGGTAGTGAAGCAGCAGTAGCAGCAGCGGTGCACGAGTTTCCGACTAGTTCGTTGCCTTTGGAGCGTGTGCCCGGAAGAAAGCCACCGATGGGATATGCGGCAGCCTGCAGGAAAGGTCCGGTGAGTAATGGCACGAGCAAAGAAAGAGAAGATGGTGCGGAGCTCCAGCATCATCACCATGCCCACTACAATCACACTTATCAACCGCCGCAGCACCATTACTATCAACATCAGCAGCATCAACATCATCAGCAGCAGCAGAGAAACGGAGGTGGTGTGGGCGCGGTAGTCGGGGCGAGTAACAGCAGTGGCAGCAGCAGTAGCAGCAGCGGCCACGCTCTTGCGCCTGAGGGGAAAGACGCGGGCGAAAAGGGCAATAACGGCGACGTCGGAATTGACGGCTGTGTTATCGGGGAATCGGGAAATGGATCAGGCGGAAGCTGTATGAACCTCAATGCCGGGAATGGTATGACACTCAGTAACGCGGTCGTCGGGGGCGTCGTCATGGCAGGAAGTCCTCTTGAGGCGACGGGTCCGCAGGCTGCGGGGTTGGCGTCGCTTGTACTAACTGGATCTGGCGGGCGAGGCAACAGTGTGGAGGGGATAGTTCAGTGTGGTAGTAGTGAGAGCGGCAATGCAGTGGCGGAGGGGGAAGGCAGTGGGATTGGGCAGGGGGAACCCGGGGACGCAGCTGCGGCGGCGGCGGCGGCGGTGGCGGTTTCGCCGACGGGTGTGCCAGGAGTGAGCTCGCTCGGGTGGGTTCAACAGGAAAATGTCGGGCGACATCATCTAGGTACGGAGACTGATAGTTTACGGCTTCCCAGCCTTGTCGGCATAAATGACCTTCAGCATTGTCCGGAGCGACTGCAGCAGCAGGCTCAGCAGCAAGAAGCGAACCTAGACCGAGTAGAGAAGGCAACGCCGTCGGACGACGCGACGTCGAAGGCGGACAGGAAAGTAATTGCAGGTTATGGTGGTGGTGGTGGCGGCGGCGGCGGCGGCGGCGGCGTTGGGACTTATGACACTGAAACAGCAGATTCCGTTGAGAGTCGTAATGCCGTCGTTGCTGCGGACGGTAAGAAACAGTCGACCGCGTCGATCGCTTACGCTGGCGGTGCTGCAGTGGCTCATATGGGTCAGAAGGCGCATCATCATCAGAAGGTGTTAAGTATAACGACGGGGTCAACGAACTTGGGCGGGGTTCAACTTGTTGCCGCTACGGGTGGCGGCGGTAGCAGCAACAGTGGCAACAGTAGGGGGGCTGGCGAGATTCTTATGCTCTCTGTTTCAGGAAGCGGTGCGTCGACAGCCTACGGTTCCAATTCGTCGGCGATGACGACTGTAGGGGGGGGGGGCGGAATAAAGCGCTCGACGGGCGCAGGGGGGCATGGGATGGGCCCGAGGGTGATCATGCATTCCGCGGGCGGCATGATACCGCATCATTATCAGCAGCAGCATCACCATCACCACCACCACCTTAGCCATCAGCAACCGCACCACCCGCAACAACATCACCATCAGCAGCAACAGCATCACCATCATCCGCCTCTGCACCCACATATCCCACCGTCGTCGATGCACCATCATCACCACCAGCAGCAGCAACAACAGCAGCAGCAACAACAGCAGCAGCAACAGCAGCAGCAGCAGCAGCAACAACAGCCGCCGCCGCCGCCCCCTCCACCTCAAATACAAATGATGATGCACCCTCATCACCATATCCCGCATCCACACCCCCATCATCCTGTATCTTCCCCAGCAGGAGCTTCACCTGTCGCGGCCCAGCAACAGCAACAGCAGCAGCATCTTCATCCCCAGCATCAAGTGCACCATCATCATCCTCCCCCCCATCACACGCAGTTGCTTGATCCGAATGCGCGCGAGTTCACGCCCTCTCCGTCTCCTTGCGCCTCTCCTGTGCTCACGCACCCTATGCTGACCATCCCTCTCAACGCGTCGTATGCAGTTAGTTGCGGCCTAGAGTCTACAGTCCACGTCGGATACGCCGCCCATGGGCACGGGCACGCGGGAACAATGGAGGGGAACCCTCCGAGCATCGTCTATGGTTCGAGCGGGGACTACCAGGCGCAGGCAGTTATGCCGGTGTATCATGCCGCTGCAGCCGCCGCTGCTGGACCTGCTCAAGCCGTGCATTCATCCGGTGGCCCGTCGTCGCACATCGCAGGATACGCGCCAGTTACGTCGTCGCCGTCACCGCCGCCTTGGGGAGAGAGCCAGGCGATACCCATCCCGATGCCGGAGATGCACGTGGCGCACTGTGGGCCGATCGCGGGGTCCATGGTTGCGCATGGAGGGGGCCCGCCGCCACCGCCGCCGCCTCCAACCCACGTTCATGCTCAAGCGCACCCGATCGTAGGCGGGGGTGGTGCGATGACGGCTCGTGCTTACGGAGTGCAGTTCCCAACGCCGTCGCCTGCGCCGCCTATGGCACTGCCGCAGCCGCCGCTGCCTCCAGCGCCCCCGTCCTCGGCGTCGTGCTTGTCTTGTACTTCCTGTTCCTTGTCCTCGTCTTCGCCGTCGTCCTGTACTCCGTCATCGTCATCGTCGTCGGCAAGCCCTTTGCCGATAGTGCTGGGCACGGCGGCAACGACGGCGGCAGCTACTGCGGGTTCGGGGTTGATGACCGCGCCTCCGCCAGCCACGGGCAGGGAGCATGTCTCCCGCTCTCTATTGCTCTCCGGAATCCCCTGTGACATGTCGGACGAGCAGCTCAGCCGGGAGCTCGAGCAATGGGGTCCTGTCCGATCCATCGGGACGGAGCGCAGGCATGAAGGCCTCGTGACTGTCCATTACTTCGACCTTCGGCATGCCAAGGAGGGTCTCAAGGACATCCAGCAGCAGCACCTGCTGCAACAGCAGCGTATGCAGCAGCATTTTCACCAGCAGCAGCAATTACAGAAAAGTCAGCAGCATAACCAGGCGGCCGTTGCGGGAGCGGGAAGAGCGCAAATGCAGTCGCAGGACATGGGGGATATGGCCGCTCCCACGACGTTGGCTGTGGTGGAGGCAAAGAGCAGGCAAGAAGGCAATGCCGACGCTCGAGAGAAGACACTCTCAGCGGCGGCTGGCGAGACGCTGGGCGTCGATCAACAGGCTTCCCCGGACAGAGTCCCCGTTCAACCCTCGTCCTCGCCCTCATCTGACGTTCATTCGGCATCATCAGATCAGCAGCTGCCGCAGCAGCACCAGCAACGTGGGACCACCAACGGGGAGAAGGACGTCGATCGTGACGACAATGAACACGGGTCGTTGGCACGTAAGCTGCAGTCAACGCACATAAGCCCGCCTTTGTCATCCCCGAAAGGACTGATTGGAGGAAGAGCTGTATGGGCTCAGTACACTGTTCCCGTGGGTGGAGCCGCTGGTCCAGACAGCCACAATCAGGGTACGCTCGTTGTGTTTAACCTAGATGCGGACATGCCGATTGAAGAACTCCGAGCAGCTTTCGAGGCATACGGTGAGAGTCGTTCGTTATGTTATCTTACGGCTACCGCTTTTTCCCTTGCTCATCACCCGCCACCTCTTTGCCACGCTCTCCGCCAGTTGTTTCATTGTTCTTCATAAGTAGTCTTTTCTATTGCTATTGGTTTGCTGGAGTGTATGCTATATAGCTTGAAGCAAGTCGCGCCTTCCCCTCTCCAGATTCTTATCGTCCGTCCTCCTCTGCTTGCGGCGGCTTTTCCTGCTTTCCCCTCTTTCACTCATTCCTCTTATAGTCCATGTCAACGTTGTTTTGTCCCTGCTTTGATCTTCCGAGTTGTACTTTTCCCTGTGTTCACGTGATCTTGTGCACACACGTGTATCTACTGTAAAGCAACAACAAAGAACAGGCGGGAGTGGGGAAGGGAGGAAAGGGAGAGGACGAGCAAAGAGAGGACAGGGCCTTGTGACGGACTTTCGTATGCATGTCATTGCATATCGCTTATCAATACGTGAATGTGCCTTTTTGTCGCTAGTGTCCTTCCGGGCGTTCAAACTCGTTTGCGTGTCTGCACGTAGTTGTCGTTTTGTTGTAGCTGGGTGTCTTTCTCGATATGTTTCTTCTTTCTCTTTCGTTTCGTGATATTGCACCTATATTGCGTCGCGTCTTCAGTTGTTATAAAGAGAAAACATAAAGGTCTTTTCTGGAACTACGGCGTGTTTCGGACGATTGCTGACTCGAATCCCGAGGTTTTGTGTTTGGTTAATCGTTCTCCGAGGGAATGCAGAGAGGACAGATCTGCGTGCGAGCTTGTCTATATTCCTGTTTTATGGCACGTTCATAAGGTTGACCCGGGGTGATTGCTGATCGCACTCTCGGCCTTGGGCTTTATCGCATGCTCGTTCGGTAGTTTACTTTTGATATGCGCATCCGTGCGTCCAGAGATAGGATCTTATGGTTCAGCTAGGGCAGTGCAGTAATGTTCGTATGGCTTACATCCTCATCCATTATGAATGGTTGTGTTCGTTGAGCGAGCGAGCGAGCGAGCGAGAGAGAGAGAGAGAGAGAGAGAGAGAGAGAGAGAGAACAAGGGGGTCTATTATCAGCTCTGCCTTTGGTTTGCCACTGTATCCCCTATCGATCGTCATCATAAAACCAAGCAAAGCGGGCGGCAGGTATCGTTTCGATCAAAAAAGCTTCTGCTGGGTAATTGCTTTGTCTGAGCTTGAACCTGGATTTTGGCATTTCTCGTTCGCCGTCAAAGGAACTTTCTTAGCCTGTGAAGTCGCTCACTTTGTATCGAGTGGTCGTTGCTTTGCGGCCTTGCCCTGGATTTTCTAGGTCGGTGCATCCTTGCCCTCTTAACTTGCCGTTCTCGTCTTTTCTCGTAGCTGCGTTCATTCGCTGCTTGCTGCTCTCGTTAGCGTGTCTCGGCTTGACTCGCTCGCTGCCCACTGATTCGGTTTGGATTACGGCGGATGATGAGTGGCAGTCGTACAGCGGCGACTTGATCGATGGATTTCGCCGTATCGGGCAAGAAGTAACATTGGAATGCCGTAGAGTTCCCATCGTTTCTCGGATACGGGTGGGTACTTTCGGCTCCTGCTGCTCGCTCGGCAGTCTTCTTGGCTTTTCCCATGTTTGGTCGTGTCTGCTCTCACGCTGTAGTAAACGGTGGTGTTTGACGAGCTTTGTCGTGGCTGGAATGGTGTATAGTATGAATCGCTGCTTTCTAGGGCAAAAAAGGAACACATGTACGTTCTCACATTGCTGAAGTTCATATTTCGGGCGTTAGTCATTGATGGCCTTAATGAGGCTTTTCGGTCCCAAGTACATCGTTGTCAGAGTTGGTGTTCGTCGATGACGAGGATCCTTGACAAGCGAACACCCTCATTCTCCGTAAGGTCAGCGCTGAAACCCTCATTCTCCGTAAGGGCAGCGTGGAAATTGCGGCTATCGCTCTCGCATTGCAGCTGCAGTGGAAACCGGTGGACGAGACTCGTTCTCCTTCGCCCATCGTCCTAGCTCTTTTGACCTTCCTCGCCGGCAAGGCTCCTGCGTGCCTGTCACACTGCCGCTGCTACCGCTTGTTTGCTCGCCAGCGAGCGAATGAAGGAAAGCGCCCTGCGCTCTTCACGTCCGCTGGTTTCAATGTGCCACGTGTCGCTGCACGCGTCGATCTCTCGGAGACGTTTGTCATTCTGTCATATTCTGCTACTGTATTTGGTTTTGACAATAGCGTTCTCACCCTTCGGTCGATTTGTCTTAGTGTTGCAGCATTTATGCGTTTGTAGATAGCAGGTTTTTGCCATCTATGGGAGGACGGACGAGAGGTCAGACTGGTCCTTCGGTCGATTTGTCTTAGTGTTCCAGCATTGATGCGTTTGTAGATAGCAGGTTTTTTGCATCGATGGGAGGATGGACGAGTGGTCAGACTGGCCCAGAAGTCGCGGAGTATATCGGTGTGGTTCACCTTGCTTCGATTGCCCTGTGTGAATGGCGTGGCGTAATATTAGCAGCCGAAGACGGTTCAGCGCGAGGGAATGGCGTCAGAAGTGGAGGGAAGGGGAGAGCGAGTGATCTTCTTGTCGGGGTCTTCTGTGGGCTGTTTGCTTGTTGTTCTGCATGCCCGTTATATTCTGATCTATTCTACAGTATTTTGTTTGCAATGATGTTATCCGTCACACAGGCAAGTAAGTATATCTTTTTTTCCCTTCGGGTCGAGCACTCCTTCGCTTTCGTTTCGACAGTAGCATTGTCCTTTCCATTTCTCTTGTGAAAGCCAGAGTTCCTACGTGTAGTGTGAGGGCGCACTCAAACTAGGACCTGATCGAAGGAATCGTTGGGACTTGCTGCCATGGCTGCCCGGGAAAGTAGTCTTAGTGTGAATATGCCCTAACTTGCATTAGCTGTTTTTTTTTCTCCGTCATTGTGTGACTCGTTCGGCTTGTAAGTCCTGTCAATCGGATCCTACCATCTATGTTGATTTATTGCTGGAGTTGACAAGTCTCGTCGTAGGGCAGGCCCCTGTTATTGGTCTTTTTCCTTTTCTCCTTTTCCGTATACGTTGCACTAGTCGGCACACAGAGAGAGAGAGAGAGAGAGAGAGAGAGAGAGACGTATACGTTGCACTAGTCGGCAGAGAGAGAGAGGTTTGACTGTGAGTCGTGAATTGTGATAAGACTTTTGTTTCGGATGCTGTACGAGGTGCAGTCTTAGGGGAGGTCCATGTTTGCACGGGGAGTGAAGGGGCATGATAAAGGTAACCAGCAAAGGTCCTGCCTTTGTAGGCGGGTGCCCTGAACGTTCGGTCGCTTGGTTTCAGTCGATCCGCTCGGTTTGTCGGGCGCGATGTAGTCGGGGGCAAACCTGAAACTCATGTTATAGCTTTTTACTAGCTGTGCCAGTATATCCGCGCGGAAGAAAGAGACATTCGCAAGTAAGAAGGAAGATTCTTACGGGCAATTATGGACCTAGAGATTGTTTCTCTAATTCTGGGAAGTGCTCGAGCCGATGTATATACAGACCTTTCACGGACAGAAACACAACAGCACACACCCAAATAGGGAAAGAGTATGAGTGAAAGATATATCTACACACATACACACACACACACACACACACACACACACACACACACACACACACACACGCACACACACAGACGCTTGTTGAAGCGCACCCCTACTACGTATCGGAAAGGTAAGAAATGTAGGGTATATCGTGATGTAGGCTCATATAGAACTATATCGTTATTTTAGATATATTTTAGATATATATTCTTATTATTATAGATTTATTATAGATATATTCTTATTAATATATTATAGATATAGATCTCTATTCAGGTAGGTAGCTGGAAAACTAGATTGATAGACAGGTCAGCTCTAGGACATATGAACACAAGAAGACATAAGTGCACGAAAACACATGCCCCAAGTTTGTTCGGGGAGTTTGGAGTACACCTTCGAGGAGAACGACAGCTGCGTAGACACAGTCTGAAAATGGAGATCGCTTTCTTCATCCATCCGCGTGCTGTGCTCGTCGGAGCAAAGCTGACATTTGTAGGTCATTTATGTGCAGGAACCTTGGTAGCTTCTGACGCGTTGGAAATAAGAAGGGTGAGTTTCAATGACCACGTGTCCCTAGCGACCTGTTTCTTTCTTGTGTTGGCCAACTTGTCGCTTTCCGTCGCCTCTCCTCTGCCTAGGTGTATGTGAGCCTAGATAACCAGATTCCTCGTTTTTTTGGGCATATTGGTGGCCCTGCGGTGCTAGCTAATCGAGTGTGGAGAAGGTGTTCTTGCAATGTGCAAGCTGGGGTTTTCCGTGTATCTGACCCTAAATGCGTTCACATTCAGTTGAAAAGTCGTACCGTCGTTATGCCCTAAGCTTCTGCCCTCGTTTTAGCTTTCGCTGTAGGGGAGGATGCGGTGCAGCTGGTGGTACGTTTGGCCCGCCCCTTCCTACAGTAGGTGTATGTGACCCTAGACTTCCAGACTCCTTTCTTTTTGCGTAGTGGTGGCCCTGCGCTTGCGAGCTAATCGAGTGTGGAGACGGTGTTCTTGCAATGTGTAGAGCAAGCTGGGGCTTTCCTCGTATCTGACCCTAAATGCGTTCGGATTCAGTCGAAAAGTCGTACCGTCGTTATTTTCTACCCTCGTCTTAGCTTTTGCTGTAGTGGAGGATGCGGTGCAGCCTGTGATACGTTCGGCCCCCTTCGTCTCGTTCCTCGATGCCCATTCTAAGATCTTGTTTCTGCTTTAAGCCCCGTTGTTATCACGTATCTGGTCTAGTAATCCCCAGAAATTCAGAGTTCGAGTGCTCGTGCTCCCTCTTCAGGAGAGAAGATACTGCAGCTTGCCGACGGAAAGACGCCGATGGCAGACTTTACACTCTGCCCTGTTCTTCTCGATCTCTTCCTGCCAGAGACCGTGCGCCCTGTGCTTGTGCTTTAGCGTTTGGGAAGGCACATAGAATTGCTGACTGAATATGGCGGACGGAATATATAAGTCCATCCAGGCTAGACGGCCTTGC